CCCACCCTCACAAATCCTCTCCCAGCTGACCCGGATGAGCAGAGACAGTACACCGTCCTGGACACAGACTATCGCACGTACGCCCTGGTCTTTGAGTGTCGACAGAGGAGGCGCCACAGCGACCGTGAGTACCCCACTGTGTCACAACGTCGTTATAATATTGTGCGTCATAGCGGCGTTTATTTGTTCTTTTTAACAGGAATTTTGCGGCGTTTGCAACACAAATAGGCCATATAAGTGCTAGAGGCTAGAGGTGTTACTAAAGAGTAACATACAATGGAAAAGTGGAGGAGGGGTAAGAACGGTAAATACGGCATTTGCAACTCAAACTGGTCAAATATGTATTGATGGCTAGATGTGTTTCGATCGAGAAACGTGCAAAACAAAAACAAAACAAAACAAAAAAAAAGCAAAATTAAAACCAACCGAAAACAAAAAAAGCAAACACAACAGAAAACTAAAACAAAAGCAGAAAAAGGGGAGGATAGATAAGGACGATATGTTTATTTTTATAGAAGAGAGGAAGTAAACCACATCAGAGCGCCCCCAGGGGGCTTTTGTGGACAAGAGGTTAAGGTGTTTGCCTCTGAATCAAAAGTCCCGGGTTCGAATCCCGGTAGCGACCGTAAAATGTTCTTCTCTAAAATTGTCTCCTTTCACCTTTTTTTCCTGCTCTCTAACAATGTTATGTTGTCTGCTTTCGTCTTCACTTTCTGCCTCACCTCCTTTGCCCCCGTCTCTGGGCTCCTGACTCTTTCTGCAGCCTTTCTTCTGCAACTCCTTGGCTCCCTCTTACTGCTGTCTTTCAGCCATACCCCTGATCTTCTTGTATGGAAGATCTACACCTGGCCTTCTCGGACAAGAGCGACAAATTTCAAAGGTCCCGCGTACAAGTTGCGCACGTTAAAGATCCCTTAGTCCCAAATCGACAAGAGTAGGTTTCGGCCGCCACCCGCGCAAAATTCAAAATTTCCAACCAACTGAAAATGTTTGGTGTGCCCTGGGCGTTCATATGACCTTTAACCCCCCCCCCCCCAAAAAAAAAGGGCGCCCGCCACCACCCGTTGTCTTGTATATGGTGTTTGCGTCAGCATGGTACTATGTGCACCAACTGTATACAGATTGGTCAGTACGGGTCAATGCTTACTTAGCTACGCACAGTGATTGGGGCGGTTCACAGAGATAATAAATCTATATAATATGAGTATCAAAGAGTGCTAAGAGCTTTCTGTTATGTTATTTCCGCCAGAGGACATTAATTAAGTCTTATCTTACTTTATCTTAAAAATATAGCTTGGTAGCCCGTTAGACGCCCAAACACCATCTTTTGCAGTCCTTCACTGTATTTTTATTTGCAAGTCGAATTGTTTTCAAATTGCATTTCTTGGGTTGACTTGTTATTATACTTATTTTTAAAAAAATTATTATTATTATTATTATTATTATTATTATTATTATTATTATTATTATTATTATTATTATT